TCATTGTCTGTTGTTCCCTTTATCAAGATGCAGTTTCCATGCTTAACTCTTTTAATTACATCTATTTTTGCTTTTGCATTGTCTGACATTACAATTGCTACTCCATCCTTTTTAAGTTTTGCTGAAGCATAATAGATTTTGCTCCAACCCTTATTTTAACTTTATGCACATTTCTATATTTCAAGTGTGATTTTTTTTTAAGCAACATATTGTTTCTGGTTTCTAATCCATTCTGCTATCCAATTATCTTGTATGGGGGAGTTCATCACATTCAAATTCATAGTTATGATTTCTAATTGGACATTTCCCACCATTCTATTTTCTTTTTTTATCCTTCTCTCTCTTTCTCATATACCTTTACTTGTTCCTATTTTGTTTCTGACTGCTTGCTCTCTTTTATTTGCCCTCCATTTTATCACACCCTCTTTCTTTACCCTATACCCTTCCTCTCCTACTTGCCTGTGGGGTAAGATAGATTTCTATGGCCAGAAGTGATCCTGTTCCTCATGGTCCCTAATCCCTTTGGACTGAAGTTGTATTCTAACTGAAGGACCCTGATCTCTTGTGAACCAATAGTGATACTTCTCCTCAGGGATTCTGCTCCCTCATGATTGGAAGTGTTCCTCTGACCGTGAAGCGTGACCCAGAAATATATATAGGCATTGTGGCTTCCAAATCCATCTGTATCCAGCTCTTCCAAAATCTGAATATCCAGCTCAAATTTCTCTCCTGAACTTTCTAGCCATACATCATCAACTATCTGTTGAATATCTTCTCTTGAATTGTCTTGCATTTTGTAATTCAAAATATTTAAAGTAGAACTCATTATTTTATCCATAAACTCTCCAAATTTCCCTGTTTCTACTGAGGGCATGACCATTCTTCTAGTTACTCAAGTTGGTAACCGTGGAGTCTTTCTTGACTTTCCCCTCTTCCTCACCCTTGATATCCAATCAGATACGAAACCTTTTATCACGGCCATCTCCTTCTTTCCACCCACCAATCATGTCTTGGCTCTTAAACCTCTCATATAGACATCTGTAGGTGCTTCCTGATTTGTGTCACTGCTTCTAGTCTCTTCCTTTTCTAATCTGTCTTCTATAAAGTCATCAAAACCATCTTCTCAAGATACAGATCTGACTATGTTACTCCTTTATTAAAGGATTATCAGTGACTTTCCCTTGCCTGTAACACTTAGGCAGGCACTAAGGGCTCTCTATAGTCTGGCTCCCTTCACTTTTCCACCCATATTTTATATAATTCCCTTTTTCATACTCTACATTCTAAACAAGGAGAGGTATTCACTCTTTTCCAAACTCAGTACTCTATCACTTACCTCCATGCTGTTTTGTAGCCCTTCTGCATGCCTAGAATATACCCCTCCTCATTCCTGCCTTTCAGTATCTTTATATTCTTTCAAGGCTCAACTTACATGTCACCAACAGGTCCACCTTAATAATTGTCTGTCTCATTTTCTTCATTGTAGCATAGTAGAAGTCTTAGATTCAAATTCCAGTGCTGCCACTTACTACCTGTGTGGCTTTGGGAAAGTCATTTAACCTTTCTAGGCCTCAGTTTCCTCAACTGTAAAATGAAGTAGTTGGACTGGATAATCTTTAAGGTCTTTTACAACTTTAAACCTATGAAACTGTGTAGGTGTGGTACCAGCAGAATGTAAATTCATTGTGGTCAGGGACTGTTATATTTTTGTCATTGCGTCCCCAGATTCTAGTCCAGTGCTGGCATTAATCAGAGACCTAACAAATGCATTTTGAATTGTTTGTTGAAATTTTTCTCTGAAGTTAGAAGGAAGTGAATAATTTAAAAGAAAAAAGATTCTTCATCACATTTATGTTCTAGTTGAATGGACACTAGCTTTTGATGCTTTAAGAAGGAAAAGCATGGAACAAGTATTCTCTTACCACTGAATACTGGTCGCCCATATTAAAGCAACTATTCACTGTAAGCACTTAAAAATATTAGTTGATGGTTAGGGGGTCTCACTGCTTCAAAAAATTATGGAATATCTTTTGAGTCTCTGAGAATCTTTAGTATGTGAAATCATAATATTATAGATTTAGAGCACTTTGAAGCCATTGAGATCAAATACCTCATATTACAGATGAGGATACTGAGGCTCCGAGATGGTAAGTGACTTGCCCAGGGTCACACAGCTACTAAGTGTATGGTAGAATTAAAACTCAGATCTTTTTGACTCCAAGTCCATTATTCTCTCCCATGTACCACCTAGCTAGCATTTTTGGAGAGTGGATGAAGTGGGTGATTCAGACTTGTGATACAGTGTAAGGAACTCCCAGTGTGGAAATTCTCTCCATTATTGCAGATTAACAATTTGCTTCAAATGCATGGTCCTAGAAAGTTGTTTGAATACTGAGAGGGTAAATAATGCCCATGGTTATACAACAAATATATATTAGGTCTTGGGTCTTTCAGACTCCAAAATTAGTATGGCACATTGCCTCTATTACTTCCATTAGTAATAAGTAAAACAGAGAGAAATATGCTTGTCTTCCATTACCACACAGAAAGCATGGCCATAAATAAGATCATAAGATACATTAAGCTGAATGGACAGATTGGAAGGTACTGCTAGACAGAACACAAAAGACAACTGACATACTAGGACTTCCTTTGTGCCAATACTTTGGGAATGTTTGTTCAATCAGATACAAATTCACCTAACTGTAATTACGATCAAGCACCTATTTCTCTATTTTTGGAGAGCAAGTATATTTCCTCATTTTTTTTTTAGGCAATTGGGGTTAAGTGACTTACCCAGGGTCACACAGCTAGTAAGTGTCAAGTGTTTGGTTTGAAGTCAGATTTGGACTCAGGTCCTCCTGACTTCATGGCCAGTGCTCTGTTATTTTCTCATTTTTTAGTGGATTATTTCCTACCTCCTTTCTTTTTTAAATATCATTTTATTTTCCCCAATTACATGTAAAGACAATTTTTAATGTTCATTGAAAAGAAAATTTGGAGTTACAAATTTTTCTCCCTCCCTCCTTCTTCTACCTCCTCCCTAAAATGGCAAACAATTTGATATTGGTTGTACATGCACAATCATTAAAAATATATTTCCATATTGGTCATGTTGTTTAAAGAAGAAACTGACCAAAAAGAAAAAACCATGAAAAAAAAAAGTGAAAACAGCATACTTCAATCTGCATTCAGACTCCATCAATTCTTTCTCTGGATGTGGATAACATTTTCCATCATGAGTCCTTTGGAATTGTCTTGGATCATTTTGTATTGCTGAGAAGAACTAAGTCATTCATAGCTGATCATAACACAACATTGCTCTTACAGTATATGATATTCTCCTGGTCCTGCTCATTTCACTTTGTATCAGTTCATGTAGTCTTTCTAGGTTTTTCTGAAATCCTCCTGCTCATCAATTCTTAAAGCACAATAGTATTCCATTGCATTCATATATCACAACTTATTCAGCCATTTCCCAAGTAATAGGCATCACCTCAATTTCCAATTCTTTGTCACCACAAAAAGAACTGCTATAAATATTTTTGTGCATGTTGGTCCTTTTCTCTTTTTTATGATCTCTTTGGTATATAGAACTAGTAGATCAAAGGATATGTGCGGTTTGATTGTCCTTTAGACATAGTTCCAAATTGTCCTCCAGAATGCTTGGATTAGTTCACAACTCCACCAATAGTATATTAGTGCTCCAGTTTTCCAGCATTCTCTCTAACATTTATCATTTTCCTTTCCTGTCATATAAGCTACTCTGAAAGGTGTGAGGTGATACCTCGGAGTTGTTTTAATTTGCATTTCTCTAATCAATAGTTTTTCCTTCCTTTCTAGGCATCATTTTATTCCTAGAATAAGAAAAGTACTCTTTAAGCCCCCTCACTTTATTCTTAAGCAAGGAAATCAGGTTGAATTTAATATACCTACTTGGAAATGTTTTTTGGAAGGAAGGCAAACATACAACCTGATGCCTTTCTACCTTTCCAGCCTTCGCTCTCTCCTTTTCTTATTCTATTATCCAGAGACATTGGACTTTTTGCAATTCCTGGCACCCAACACCAAATCTCCCAACTCTGCACTTTCACTGGCTGTCCCCCAAGCCTGAAATGCTGTCCTTCCTCATCCCTGCTTCCTGGATCCCAGGCTTGCTTCAAATCTCAGCTAAAGTTCCACCTTCTGCAAGAAATCTTTCCTGGTCCCTCTCAATCTTAAAGTGCTTTCCCTCTGAAATTATCTCCAATTTATTCTATATATAAATATGTATATATATCTATATTTATATATCATGTCTGTACATGGTTGTTTGCATGTTCTGTCTACCAGTAGAGCTCCATGAGGGAAGGGACTCCTTTTTGCCTTTGTTTGTATCCCTAGTGCTTAGTTAAATGCCTGGCTTATACTAAGTACTTAATACATTTTTAATAAATATCAAGGGACACTTAGGTTATACAGTATATAGAATACTGGGCCTGGAATGAGGAAGAATCATCTTCAAATCTAGCCTCAGGCATTTACTAGCTGGGTGGCCTTGGCCAAGTCACTTAACCCTGTTTTCTAACAATGAGCTAAAGAAGAAAATGGCAAATCACTCCAGTGTCTTTGCCAAGAAAACCCCAAATGGGGTCATGAAAAGTCAGACATCACTAAAAAATGTTTGAACAAAAATAAATTTTGCATGTTGAGTTGACTTGATTTCATAATACAAAGCCTGAGACCATTGAAACAGGGGTAAATATAGTTATTTGTGGACACTCCCCCCCAATACTTCCTCCATTTACTTAGAGTATTTTTCAAATAAAATATACTTAATTTCTTATAATAACAGAACACTGAATTTTCCCCATATCTTGCCAACTTTTTGGAATGTTTTATATTTGATCTATAGTAAAAACCAATTCCTCTAAATGTTAGATTATATTATCAGCTGAAAGAGATTAAGTCTGTGATTATTCAAAATAAGTATATATCCAGCAAAAGGTATACTTACTTACCTGATGTTGAAATTTTCCTGCTAGTTCCTGGTAGTATGGGGACCTTGGATCATTCAGTTCTGCCTTAAATTTCTGATCTGCTAGGTTGACACTAAATTCTAACATCTCTTCCAATGGTCCCTCTGATATGATATTAGTGATTTCAGTTTCTATATCCTAAGGAAAAAGAAGAGATAGATTTTGTTTAGCATAAACCAAAAGCAAATTCTTTGAGATGTTTCTAAATATTGAAGTGGTCAGAAAAAATTGATTCGAGAACCTTCAGTGGACTTAGAGATGGAGTTGTATGGAATGAGAAATAGACTTTGTGGGGGGTAAATTTGGAATAAAATTTCTTATTTTAGTTAACCTAGAATCTTTAGAGAGCAGTGTAATTTGTCTGTGATTGAAAGCTAGTGGAAAATAGATCTATTTTCTTTGTAGAATCCAGTATGGTCATGTGTATACTGGACTTTATCAATACTGTTTGATAATGCTGAAATGATGATTACATTGGACAAATGTGCAAATGAATATGAGCTATTATGACCACCCAACTAACACCAGAGGGAAGCCTGGGCCGATATAATGATGCTGTTCATGCATGAACATAATATCAAAATTGTCCTGAAAGCACCTTCAAGTCAAAAGTTGGCTTAAAGGCACTCTCAGGGAGAATGGCATATTTGGGTCACAACTAGAAGCTTGGGCTGGAGTATCTAAAAATAGCAGCACAGCTCTGAGCAAGTAGGTCTGCCTTTTGCTTGCTCAGAGACCCATTACCTGCCTTTCTCGCTGCCCTTTGGATATGAAATTGGCATGGTTCTGTCATTGCTCTGTTCTCCAATTAGCTTCCTAGGTCATAGAGCAAGATAGAAGTTGGGTTTTAAGTATGTGGCATTGGAGATTGGTTTGCAGCCTTTTGACACATACATGACTTTGAGATCAACATTGTGTTTCCCTGAAAACCCAAAATATATACTTGAGGATTCTGTAAAGGTATTAGCTGAAGCAGTAACCATGATTTCATTGAATTTATGCCTCAATATGGGATCTAGAAAATCTTTTTTTAAAAAACCTGAAAAGTTGGTATATGACGGTCAAACATGGAAGCAGTACTTTAATTTTTCCAGTGGAATAAATCAATCAACACTATTTATTGTGTCTACTATGTGCCAGGCCCTGCAAATACAAAAATAAAACAAGAAGCCAGGTCTTTATATATGTAGGTTAGGCTCTGGATATACAGACACAAAAATAAAAAAGGAGGGTAGAAAACGATGGGGATTTCAACCCATTCAACACTATGATGACATGTAGCCCTATCTAAGAGTGCTGAGAGGCCTCCAGAAGCTAAAAGAAGGCATCTCTTAGATCTCAGGTGTATTGGCTATGTTTAAGGCACTGTGATAAGATTGGGGTGGGATTTATCAGCCCAAAATTGAATCATAGGGTGATATGATAGTGAAGTTGCTTCTTAACCATTTTCTATGGTTCTTTCCTTCTTAAAACAAGTACAGTGAATCCAATTTTCTGTCAGTCATGAGCAAAATACATAATTTATAATTAGCAAATGAAACAAAATCTTCCCATTTTAATTGAAGGAACAAATAGGCAGCACTAATATTTTTGAATTGACAATCCATTTTTTTTTTCTCCAAAGCACAGAAAGCAGGCAAATGAACAGTTAGATAAGATATCAGGACATCCTCACCTTCACAGGAGTCTTTGTGTCATTGAAAAGTTTGTTGAGAAGTGAGCCATTAGGAGTGGATGTGAAGGGAAGTGGAGAGAAGCTAGCAGCACCTGCTGAGACTTCAAAAAAATCACACACATGAATACCCCAGTAGAGAGCTTAAATTAGAACAAGGGCAAAAGTTCATGGAGTCTCCCTGTCACTCCAATACCCACTGATGGTAAGTGCATTTTCAATCCATTAAAAAAAAAATCAGCATATTGTTGAGTTAAAATGTGGCTCTAAGTTTTCTCTCATTGAAATTCTCCTTTCCTTCTCCCCAGAGCCCGAGTTTAATAGTCCTTGGGATATACATTGTAAAATAACTTTATTTAATGAGAGCAAATTAATTTCTCTTCTTGTGAATATTGAGTGGAAGCACATATTTAAAACAATATGAAATTGGCTGTTCAGAAACATTTCTTTGGATGCTATCCATGGCTTTTGAATTTGATATGAGAAGTGTTTTTGGATTCTCTATCATTTAGGGAGCTGGCAGGAGCCTTGGGCCCAACTAATGAGCTCCACCCTAGAGCCTGCATCTATTTAAAACCATCCCAGATGCAGGGCAATCTTTCTTGTTTTTAAGGCCTTCCAAAGAGAAGATTCTGGACTGTATTGCAGCCAAGGAAAATCATCACATTTAGGAAAACAAATGTGTTCTGTTTTATTGTGTGAAATTATACAATAAAACCTTGTGAATCTGAAAAGCCTTAAGAGTGGAGTATTTCAGTTAATTGAATTTTCTAGTTAAAATTTAGTTAACCAGAAAACCATTTGGCTTTCAAATCTTATTGTTGAAAATGTCTACGTGTAGTAAGCAGAATATACAGAATATTACTGAATCTGTCCTTGATTGAGGATCTTGTAGCCCCTGAGGAAACCTTATTCTGCAGACTAGTAATCATCGAACTATACCATATGTGGAACTATAGAAGCCTGAGTGAGCGAGAACTGACCTAAGTTTACAACAATACAACCACTAACTCTAGACAGCTAAAGTAAATGTTTTTTTTTTCTTTCTGGTATATCCAGTTTCCTTCTTCTCTTCCTCCTTCTTTTCTTCTTTTGTTAACAAGGCTCTGTTCCCCCTTCATTCCTATATCAGATGCCTTGTTTCTCTGTGGCCCCATCAGCACTATCCAAACTTGTTTTAGAAAAGGATATGATAAACTCATTCACATTAGGGTGTAAATGATTGAGTGGTTAATTGACTTGCCTATGACCACAGAAAGAGTTAGTATGTCAGAGGCCAGACTGGAACTCAGGTCTTTCTGACTCTAAGGTTAGACCTCCTAGGCCATGTATTCATTTACATCTATACACACACATACATATACATATACCCATACTCATACTACATCTATACTTGTCTCTATACATATACACATACACATACATATATCCATACCTATACCCATACTCATACATATACATACTGTATACAAACCTTTACCTTCTATCCTATTTTTCTATTTTCATTTGAAAAAGGGGCAAAGCGTTAATATAAAAAATGAATTTTGGTGCCTGTGAAATCAGAGGCTTCTTACTCTTTCTTATGCTTAGGTAGCTCTCTAAGACTATATGTTACATAACATATGGAAGAGTTGATGATCTCCATCAGGGGAAGGAGTTCCTGTACCCTAATTCCCTAAACCAGTGAAATCACAAAATCTGATCCCTTTCACCAAATTTTTATAAGCACATGTGCACATGTAAACATGCATATACATATGTACACAAGATGTATTCATGTTTAGTGATAGTTCTCAACATTTGATCTCCATACATCAGTTTTTCAGAATCCTCCCCATCCCTGGTATTTATGGACAACCAAGGGTGAGTCTTTTATTTTTATTTCATTTTTTTATTTTTAGGCAATTGGGGTTAAGTTACTTGCCCAGGGTCACACAGCTAATAAGTGTCAAGTGTTTGGTCTGAGGCCCGATTTGAACTCAGGTCCTCCTGATTTCAGGGCCGGTGCCATATCCACTGTGCCACCTAGCTGCCCCTCAAGGGTGAGTCCTACAACAGAGGTTGAACTTCATTCTTGTTAGTCCAGGACCACTAGAGAAATAGTCTGAAAGTCTGGTAAATGGTCAACTCAAAATATCCATATCAATATACACAGATGTGCAAATATGCATATAGACATACCTTGTGTTAACTCCCTCCAGTGATGCCTATCAGAAACTTCTCTGTAACTTACAGTTTTAGAGAGCTGCCTGGAGGTCTTGAAGAGTTAATTGACTGGTTCATACCACAGTGGTGGTATTATGTTAGGGGCAAGTCTGGAACTCAGGTCTTATTGACTATGAGGTTAGACCTCTTAGGCCATATATATATATATATATAGATACAGATACATGTATACATATAAACACATGTAATGAATATGTACTTTGGGGAGATATTTGGAAGATATTTGCCCCTCAGACTTCTTATAAATGATTGAATTCTTACAAATGAACTTAAACTAAGTAGGAAAGAGTTTATTTTTAAAAAAATTGTGACAAAAATGCTACTAAAATTCAAATGTACTGACTTTAACTTTTCTAGGTAGGAATCTCAATTACATTCCAATGATTACTTTTAATTTTAACAAAATTAAAAAAACAAATTCATCATAGAGCATCTGCATATAGCTTTTTTCTCTTCTAATACTATTCCTCTGAAGGAAATGTGATATTAGAGGTCAATGTTCTTTGGACTGTTAATACTGTTAATAATTAGGTAGCTATTTCCTTCTAAGACTACTGGGGAAAATCTTAAGGAATGTATTCCACAAAGCAAGATCTTCATAATTGGACATTGAGCCAGTATAGTACTTATATTAGTTACTGATAAGCTGGTTGAAAAGATGAGCTAACGGTTCATGCTTTAAAGACTTAAAAAATGTAAAAATTCTAAGGTACAGTTTTTTATGGATCTCTGTTCAAATGTAGAACCTGAAACATGATCTTGTCAACATTTTAACATATACAAACATAAATATTCAATTTCTGGCTTGTAAGCTTCTAAAAAGTGATTTTTCTTATTTGTGGATTTCTACAAAGGGTTGTTTCGAAAATGCCACATTTTGTGATGATTTGGTTGTAATGTATAAAATATTATAAATGTAATGTTTTAAGAATGAAATCTAACTTTACCTGTAGGAAGCACAGGGATTTCTTCAGACTTTTTACTTTCTATTGCCTTCTCTGTGAGAATTTCCTCTTTTCTAGAAGCAAAATAGAAATGAAAGACATAACCATTAATAGGCACTGGATGGCAGTAGTGGGAATAGATTGAAAATCTGCTTCTAAGTTAAATTGTGTTTTAAATTCTAAGCCATCCATTTTTAAGAGGAATATTTTGATTCAAACTCTAGAGAGCAGCACAGCTATGGTTGACCTTCAGCAAAATTTTAAAGTCAGAAAAGCTGGTCTTTGATGTACCTATTTTTGGGTTGTAATTTTCCAACTTGTTATACATTAATATAATGGGAGAAATTTTGTGTTTTACTTATTGTATTTTTATTCCAAGCACCTAACTTAGAGCCTGGCATGTAATAAACAGGTGTTTAGTAAGGGCTTGTAAATTGATTGATTTCCAGGTAACATGTTTTAAGGAACCTTGATTGCATCATTCTACGTACTCCCTCTATATGCCATTTATCCCAAACTTCCCATGTGTAATACTGTTACTTTAGCTAGCTTATTGTTGTTGTTTGTCCTTTGTTCTTGAAGAGGACCATGACATCAGGGAGAGATGTCATGACAGGCAAGTATATTGGATTTAACTGAGGGAGGGCTGTGCAGAGTCACTGGCTTCCCTTTCTCCTCCGGAGCCATATGGTTTAGCTAGCTTATTTTAAATCCGCAGGCAGTATAATAGCCCCTCACTTCCCTGTGGTTCCTTCCTCTGCTGCATTTAGGGAATTTATATTAAATGAAAAGTTAGGAATACCATCACAATTTCTCCCAGCCCTGAGTTAGAAAAATCCCTAATATTTGGCTTTCTACTTTCCTTTATATCTAGTTAACCCCTGGCTTCTTTATTTTGGAGGCAAAATTCAGTTTACCAGAAAAGTTTGGGTAAAAAAGTATCAGGGTTGATAGGCATGGGGAAGGAAATTTGGGGAAAGAATAGATCTTTGTTTTCCTTAGAACTTCTTTTAGTCCTTGAGAAGGTGGGTACTAATGATGATTTCAAACTGAGTTTTCTGATGTAAGATGCCTATAGGGCCAAAGGCTGTCCTCAGTCACTCCTTTTCCCATTACAGCTGAGTCCTAATTTCTCTTTTTCCTTTTCTGGTTGCTTTTGTACTGCTAATTCTTACTATCTTAGCTCCTGATGTCTCAACTCCTTATCTAGTCCCATACCTGAAAAATCTCTCCTCAGTTTTGAACTACCTCCTCCTTTTATGCAATTGTTCAGGATGTGACCGAATCCTTCACCTAGTCAGAACAGATTTCCTGTTGCACTTAATTAAAATATCTTTGATTAATTCAAGGAGATGTCAAGGTCTTGTTCATTGTTCTTCAGTCATTTGACCCCATTTGGGGTTTTCTTGGCAAGATAGTGGAGTGGTTTGCCACTTCCTTCTCCAGCTAAATTTTTACAGCCAAGGAAACTGAGGCAAATAGGGTTAAGTGACTTGCTCAGAGTCACTTAGCTACTAAGTATCTGAGTCCAGATTTGAACACAGGAAGATGAGTCTTTCTGACTCCGGGCCCGAGACTCTATCCACTGGACTACTTGTCTTATTAATGCCTAGTGAATAATCAACATGTGTCCTCATCTGCTAAATGTATCAGGGCTTAGCTTCTAGACATTTTAAATGGGGTGGGGTAATTTGATTGATTTACCTAATGCATCCTTGCCCTTACATATGCCTTAGCAGATAATCTTCATGAGCTGATGTGGCCAAAATAATTCTTCAGTGGACCTCTGTGTAAAATGTTCCCGTTTGTTAATACCTGCAAAAGTTTTTGCTCTGCTGACTTAGTTTTTAAGAACCTCTTTTTATCTTGAATGGTGCAATGAGACACTGAATTAGGACTTTTGTGAATGTCTGTTGAAGTCTGTTTATGCTAGCATTGACCATCTGCTGATAGCACCTTTGCCTTTGTTGTTTAGAGTAACTAAAACATAGTTACCCTAATGATAGGATTTTTGAACCAGCTAGGAAGGTAGAATGGCAAGATGATGGAACAGTGATAGATATTTTGGGAGCAGGTAGAGAACATCACTTGTATCATTCTGCATAGGGCCATATATGAACATTTCCGAATAGGGCTGTCCATGATTTTAAAGGGACCTTATTTGGATTGTAGTTGCAAGAGTTTTTTCTTTTCTTTTGAATCTTGTTTACATGTTTTAGATGGTAGCTTCTTAGTGGGTCAGAACCATGACTTTCAGGATGCAGCAAAACTGCCCAGGACCCAAAGCTTTGTCTCATAGACAAACTGTGGCTTGTAAAGACAGCCATGACAAGGCCATAAGGAACTTCTGGGTTCCTCATTGTTTTTAAACAATGTTAACTAGATACAGAAAGTTTGATTCAATGTTTCTATTATGTTATGCTTGTATGGAACTAGCATATTCATGTTTGACTAGCTTCCACAATACTAGGCCAACGTGGGTACTTAATAGGTAGTTTTTCATGGTGATCATTTTTCATAAAATATAGGAAAGGTGAGACCAAGTGGTTTAGAAACTTTCTTTTTCCACTTGGAAGAAATGTCTCTTTATAAAGTGTATCCAGCTATACAGTTAGCCCATTGATTTGTTAGAGCAAAGATAAAAAAAAGACCAAAAGTAATATAATGAGAGGATATTATATATTTATACATATATACATATATATGTATATATAAAATGACATGCTGTTAAAACAGCTCCATTCAGACCTATTTAAATAAGCATAAAATGCTAAAAAACTGGAAGACGACAAAGGAATAAATATTGACACAGAATACAATCATTTACCTAGGAAGAATAACTAATATAAATCAGTCACCACAATGAGGATGCCAAAGGAAACCAGAAAAGGTCTCAGGCAACAAATACTAGATTACCTAAACAGAGAGAGGAAAATCAAAGGCAAATCTGGTTTAGAGTACAAATTAACTTGCAAAATGTTGTAGATAAGGATAGTGTAAGGTTATAAACAATATTCTGTTATAGAATAAAAAAAAGAAACCTAATTAAGCCAGATAATCCCAATATCATTTAAAGATGAAATTGAAAGGAGGGCAACAGAAAAAAAATCAGAAAATATCTTTCTATGATAAATTTTGTCTTGTAGCAATGACAGTGGGGCTCTTCTATTTAGCTTTCAGTACCACAGTTCCTGTTTGTGCTACATGAGGAAGTAAGCATTATACTAAAATGAACAATGATGGGAAGAACAAGGACCAGACAAAATATATAGAGGGGAGTATTATGCTGGATATGATAAAATTTTGAGGGTTTTAAAGGATTGATACTGAAGATATCAGAAAGAGCCTGGACTGCTTTCCCTTCTCATCCCTGGCTGCTGGTTTCCATGACTTCCTTCAGGTCGCAGCTAATAATCTCACTTTCTTTAAGAAGTCTTTCCTGATCTTCCTAAATTACAGTGCCTTACCTTTGCTCATAATCTTCAATTTATCATGTTATGTATCCAGTTTGTAGAGAGCTGTTTGCATATTCTTTTCCCCATTAGACTGTGAGCAGGAACTTTTTTTTTACCTTTAAAAAATATCTCCAGAGCTGAACATAGTGCCCAGAACATACCATTAGCTTAATGAATGTTTGTTGACTTGACAAGATAACAAATGCTTAGGAAAGAATATGGAACATTAACAAAGCAAGATAATGAAGAAAATAGCAATAATTGCTTACTCTAGTGTTTAACATAGAGCCTGATATATAATAGGCATGTAATAAGTGCTTGTGACTGATATACCTACTTTTCCACTTTTAAAAAATATCCATGAGAATAATCTGCTATATTCATTTTTCACGACTCATTTTTTTAAACAGTGGAATACATCTTTAACATCACACAATTAACTGAAAGATGCTGAGAAGACAAGACTCTACTGTGCTTATTGTTTGTTGACTGTAAGAAAGCATTCAATTTAGTAAAACAAAATGACACATTCATCCAACAAAGTGCAAATATGACAAATGTTGGTTACTTTGTTCTAGACTATTTGATCATCAATATCAATATCAATATCAACTGAGTTCAGATGGAAGAAGGATGGTGAGGCCCTTGAGATGCTCATGAAACCTCAGAATATCTAAGTTTGGAAGGACCTCAGAAGGCAACAACCCCATAACCAAAAGAGAATTCTCACTACAATAAATACTCATCCAGTCTTTGCTTGAATACTTCCATTGAAAGGAAACCCACTGTCTAGGCAGCCCATTCCACTTTTTCAGTGCTCTAATTGTGATGAAGTTTTTCCTGACATAGAATCTAAAATTTTCCTCTTTACAAGTTTAATTCCTTACTTTTAGTTCTTACCCTTGGGGTCAATCAGAACAAGTCTAATCATTCTTCCACATGACAAAACTTTAAGTACTTTAGGAGAACTACTGTTTGTTCCTTCATTCTTCTATTTTTTATTAAACATCTCTAGTTCCTTTGCCTCATTCATATATGGCATGGACTTTGGACACTTTAACATTTTTGTTCCCTTCCTCTTGAATAACCCTTCTCAAAGTGTGGTCCATAGACTCCTAGAGGTTCTGAGGCTCTTCAGGGTGTTGCTGAAGTTAAAATTATTTTCATAATGATACCAAGAAATTATTTACCTATTCAAGTTCTCCATTTTCCAACTCTGTATCTGTGTAAGGCTGAGTTTTCATCATATACGCCAACCAAAATAACATATTGTGAATGATTGAATGAAGAAGCTAACAAAATAATCCATCTGTCTTCTATTAAGCCAGACATTTAGGAGGAGATGTGAAAAATGTTGCTCCTCTTCTCACTACTTTTTTTTGGGGAAATATTATTACTTTTAATAAAAATATTTTTGTGTCAACATGTGATTGGTTTCTTGTTATTTTAAATGAATTAAATTTTAAAAACTTATTTTAAATTTCTAAAGCAATAAATATTGATAGATATAACCCATATAAACAAAAGATCTTTGGGGTCCTCAATAATTTTTAAGGGTGGAAAAGAGTCCTTAGCCCCCAAAATTTAAGATTTAGAAGAGAGATCTTTTTTTGCCTTCCATATCACCCTGTTGACTCACATTGAAGGTGAAATCCACTAATCTCCCCCCCCCGCCAAACTTTTTCAGGTAAGCAGCTGTTTAGCCGTATCCCTCTTATCTTACATTTTTTTTGGACCCAAGCATAAATCTTTACATTTATCTCTGTTAAATTTCGTGCCAGTGTTCTAATCTATAAAGGACCTTTTGGATCTTGATTCCATCAAATACTGTGTTAACTATCTTTTGCTTGTATTATCTTGAAATTTGATAAGCATGCTATGTATGCGTTTATACCCAACATTAAAGTCCAAGGTGAAGTACAGATCTCTAGGGTATTCTACTGGAGACTTTCTCCCAAGTCAATGTCAAATTATGAAAGACTAAGTTTTGAGTCTGTCTTCTCATTCAGCTCTGAATCTGTTTAATTGCACTTATTTTTTTAGCCCATATCCTTCTATCTTTTCCACAAGAACACCATGATATACTTTACCAAACATTTTTGCTGAAATTTAAATAAACTCTAGCTTTAGCATCCTTCTAACTAGTGAGCTTATTAAAAAAAAAAGAAAAAAATGGGAATTAATGTTAGGTGTCATGACCTGTTTTTGATGAGGTCATACCAGCTCTTTTTGATTACTACTTCCCTTTCTAGATATTCACTAATTTTCTCTTTAATAATCTGTTTTAGAATTTCTTCAGAAATTAAAGTCAAACTCATTGGCCTATAGTTTGTAGACTCTTTTCTCTTATCTTTTTTGAAAAAGGATAGCATTTACCCTTCTTCATTTCTGTGGGAACTTTCCCATTCTCTATTATCTGTCAAAGAACACTAACAGTGGTTTAGCAATGAGATATGCCAATTCTTTTGGTACCTGAAGATATAATTCATCTAGGCCAGCTAACTTGAATTCAAGAAAGGCAGCTAGATATGCTTTTATTATCTCCATATATGTATATATATGTATAATATCTATATGATATATAATATAGTATATATATGTATAGGATAGCAACTCTTTATTAGCCATTTTTGTTCCACCCTTATATGCACAAGTCATTCTCCTTGGCAGAGATATCAGAAGATAAGAATTTATTAATGTTGTTTTTTCTTTGGTGTCAGTTATCTTTATATATGATTTTTTCTGATAGAATACAAGCTCATTGAGTTGAGACTGTGTCATTTTTGTCTTTGTTTTTCCAGCACAGTGCCTGCCTCATAGCAGGCACATAATAAACACTTGGTGGTTGATTGGCCCACACTAAACAATCAAGTCTTTGCATATGATGTAATGCAGAACATTATTTTACCATTTAGGTAGTAGGACCCTTTAGGCCATGGAAAGCAGAAGTTGCTGCTTAATCTTGCCCTAGACCTCTTTCCTCCTAAATCTAAACAATAGTGAAATGTACTCTTGCATAGCTTAAGCACAGCCCATACCTCCAACACAAATGGATAAGAAAACTTGCAATATAATAGCTTTAGATGATTATGTTTATACCAGAAACCAGGACACCTGGTCTGGTTTGTGTGATCCCTGACCTGTAATGATGGGGTGCTTGGATGCTTGTGCTTATACTTTTGCCCCCAAAATGCCTCCCTAGTCTCAGAAACACTATCTCTGACAACCACTCCCCAGCCCAAGGACACTGTGCCTAGCAGTATTCATGCATGGGCCTCAGCACAACCCTTATCTGGCTGCTCAGGCTCCAGCCCTCAGATCATATCTCTGGAAGCCTTCAAATTCCTTAGCATGACCCTTATCTGGCTGCTCAGGCCCCAGCCCTCAGATCATATCTCTGGAAGCCTCCATTGTGAGAAAGTTTTTTCCTTTGTTGCAGAGCATTATCATGTCTGGACAGAGGGAGAGGGGTGTCCTTGACCAGCCCAAAAACTCTTCCTCTTGCCAGACTTCAAAGATCCATCCCCCTCCCTGTCCTGTATACTCCCTATAGAAACCCTAGCTTGACCCCTGATGGGGGCTGCTTGATTTGGATGTGAATACCCCTGGCAGCCATGCACTAATATAAAAAGTCCACAATTTAAATTAGTCTGGGTCTAACTCGCTAATTTCTCGGTATAGCAATGACATTAGCATGATTGACTTAAATCTTAGAACATCTCTCTCTCTCTCTCTCTCTCTCTCTCTCTCTCTCTCTCTCTCTCTCTCTTTTGGTGAGGCAATTGGGGTTAAGTGACTTGCCCAGACTCACACAGGTAGTAAGTGTCAAGTATTTTGAGGTCAGATTTGAAGTCAGGTCCTCCTGACTCCAGGGCTGGTGCTCTATTCACTGAGCCACCTAGCTGCCCCTGAATCTTAGAACTGGGATTCATAAACCCTCAAAAGAGTGAAGTTTAACTATTCACACAAGAAAAACCAAGTGGATGAAGAACTTTGTTATTATCTAGACTATTATATACAATTGAATTGATATATGGATTCATCAGTAAATATATCTCAAAAAGACACTCCAGATAGATAATGAAGTAGGTTCAGAATTGAATTGGTTGAAGAAAGTTATCTGGGTTGCATTTGGGAAATTGAATAGTGATATTAATGACACAGAACTTCTCCTTGAAACTGTGAAATTGAAAATTAATATCCCACTTCATTTCACATTATTTATTATTGACTGAGAATTGTATCTATCTATATGACCTTGGCCAAGTCACTTAACCCTGTTTGCCTCAGTTTTCTCATCTGTAAAATAAATTGGAGAAGGGAATGGCAAACTACTCCAGTATCTTTGTCAAGAAAACCATAAATGGGGTCATGAACAGTTGAACACGGCTAAAAGGACTATACAACAATAAAATCTTATAAATATATAAATAGCTCAGTTTTATATCATTTTAACATCTTTCTCAGAAGATGGTGTGGTATAATTGAAAAAAAATAACAATAGCCCCCTGGATTTGGAGTCTGAGGACTTGAATTTGAATCTCACCCCTACCACTTAGTCTTTTATTACTGTACCACTTTGGATGAATCACTTAATCTCTTTGGTTCTCAGGGTTCTCATTTGTAAAATGAGGGGGTTGGAAGAGATGACTCCTAAGATCCCTCCCAGCTCAAAATCTATAATCCTTCATCAAGGGCACCCATATGAAGGTCATTGTGTCATAGTGGAGAGAATGTTTTACTTGTAGATTGTAGAAAGTTAGCGTGGCAGAACAGATAGGACCCTGGGTTTAGAGTTAGGGAGACCTCCCATCAAATCCTACCTCAAAACCTTGTTAGTTGTGTGACCCTAGGCAAAATCAGTCTTTTGGGGCCTCAAATTTATTCTTATGTAAAATAAGGGAAGTAGACTTAAGGACCTCTAAGATGCCTTCCAGCTCTAAATCTTTGATTCTAAAATCAGTTGACCTGGGTTTGAATCCTGGTTCATACTTACTTTGCCTCTCTGGGCATCACTTTTTCTCATTTGTAAAATGAGGGCATTAGGTTAAATACTCAAGGGTTCTTAATCTGAAGTCCATAGATTTCCAGGGGTCTATGAACTTTGATGGGAAAAAAATTAGACCTTTATTTTTACTAAACCTCTAAGTGAAACTTAGTTTTTCCTTCAGTCATTTAAAAGCATTGTCTCAAGAAGGGCCACAAACTTCATCAGATAGCCAAAGGGATACATGACACAAATAGGGTTGAGCATCTCTGGCCGTGATGATCTCCAGGGTCCTTTCTAGCTTTAAACTCTATGATACTATATAAGTGAGTTATCATTTGGGCTACTCACCTCTCAGGGAAATGATGCTTTAATCGCTGAAAAAAAAATAAAAGAAGTCATTTAACTAGGAGGTAAGGTCAATCCAACAGTAGAAGTCATTTTCTGTCTCTGTGGCCCATTTTTGCTATTACCCTCTAGGGCCCCACCTCCAAGCCCATTATTCTGCTCAGAACAAAGACCTATGTTGTTTCTCACCAAGCCTGTCCTGTTCTTGTTGTTTAGCCAGGTAAGGTATCTTAAAAGAGGTAAGGACAGGGGAGGATCTGGGAAGAAATTCTCAGGCTTGAAAAAGAGAGGGCTATTTCTCTTCTCACCTGCTGGAGAAGTTCCTGGAGCTCCTGAGAATTGATGAAGGTTTCTCCAATGTCAAAAATGCAGTAAGTCTCCTTCTGGCAGGCACTGACCCAATTCTGGTACTCACTCGTGTCAGGGATACGGTCCAGGAAGATTCGATAGGCTTCCCACACAGCTTCCTGACAGACTATAAAGGAGGGTGGTTAAGTATGGAAACTTGGCCCAGGATGAGTGAAAATTCTCCTTCTTCCAAATTAATCCCCAACACCCGCCCACACTAAAGTTTCATAAAATAGTATGATTTTATAGATTAGAGCTGGAAAGGGCTTTAGAAGTCATGCAGTCCTTCTTGTGACCCACAGTTTAAGAAGTGCTGAAGGGGTCAGGAATGGAAAAAGTCTAAGAAGCCCTGAAGTCCAACCTCTTCTTTTTACAGATGAAAAAACTGGTTCCCAGAGAAGATAAATGCTTTCTCTAAGGTTATAGAGTAGACAAATGGCAGTCAGGATTTGAATTCAGGTCCTTTTACTCCAAAACTGATGTTCTTTCCATTGTATCACATATTGTTACATAGTATTCTTTTATTCTCAGGAGTGTGTTGATTCCTAAAATTGTTCTAGTTTGTCGATATTCGCTTTCTAGGTATTGTGGTACAGAGGAAAAAACACTGGCTTTAGGTCTAGGGGGCCTAGTTTTAAATCACAACTCTGATCACTACTTGTATGACTTTGGACAAGTCACTTAACTGACCTGGTTTCAGTTTCCTCATCTATAAAATGAAAGGTTTGGATTGGGTCAGAAATGTCAAATTCAGCTAGGAATAAGGGCCATTAATCCACGCATAAGGATCCTACAGGCTTCCCATTGACTTAAAAAACCCACATATTAACTGTCTATATTCTATTGTATTTCTATTTACTTTGTTAAATATTTCCCAGTTACATTTGTATATGGTTTGGTGTCACTCAGGAATCTTGTGTTTGATATCTCGAGATTAGATGACTTCAGAGGTTGCTTCTACCTGTAGATCTATTATTCTGGGAATTTGCATTGTCTTGGAGGAACCACCCCTCCTAAAGGATCAGGCAGAAAGTACCCAAGTCAGTAACCAGGCCCTGATCAAGGTAGGAAAGTGGGTGATTGTTGTCTTTGTTGCCTGCACTTCTGTCTTTTTTCTTCCTCAGTGACACTCTTCCTTCAATCCTCATAGCTCAGGGCCCTTGTGCCTGGGCATTTTGAGGTGCCTCAGCTCCAGGTGGAGACCCTCCCAAAAGTTCTTTATATTTTATGTGCCCCACCGCTATTCCTGGGGTCTTTTGTTGATACCGCTATTCCTGGGGTCTTTTGTTGATATCAAGTCATTTTTAAGTCACGTCTAACTCTTTGTGACCCCTTTGGGGGTTTTCTTGGCAAAGATTTTGGAGTGGTTTGCCATTGCCTTCTCCAGCTCATTTTAAAGATAGATGAAGAAACTGAGGCAAATAGGGTTAAATGACTTGCCCAGTATCTGACGCCAGATTTGAAATCAGGTCTTCCTGACTCTGGACCCAGTGTTCTATCCACTGGACCACCTAGCTGCCCCATATTCCTGGGATCTAGTTATTACAAAATTCCTGCATTGGGTACTGCTTCTTTTAACAAAAGATCTGAAGCATATGCACAGAAAAATATCACTGTGTGATGTTGGGCAAGTCACATAACCTTTCTAGGCCTCATTTGTAAAACGGGGGAATTGGCTAGACAATCTCTATATCCCCTTCCATAAAACAATGATTCTATTAACTGGACACAGTTTTTGTGTTGCTGTGGGGTGTCTTTCTTAACAGTCTCAGGCTAAAGGAATGAAGCTGCTATTCTGGAACTCATGTTTTGTTGGGTATATTGGGGAAGCTTTTGGGGGTGTGGTGGTAGAGGAGGAAGGGGCATTTGAAGCAACTCTGAATTCAAGCTATATAGTTTACTTTGATGACTCTTAAGGATAGCCCTGGTAAAAAGCATACATGTTAATAGGAGCAGAATACAGATATCTTATTACTACATTCATTTTGCTCATATACCTACTCCCTACTATGACTGTTTCTTTATGAGATGGCCTTCTATCAACAGAACCCTAGACACTCTGAGTTCCTAAAACTAAAAGCTCTTTCCAATATTTTAACTATTTTAACCAAGACCACCTACTTTTACCTACTGGGCATGGTTTCAAAAACTAGGGATGTCCCATCCCTCTAAGTTATCTTTGCTTCAAAGAAGCATAAGGTTAGAGATTTAAGGGATCTTCAAAACTCATCAAATCTAACCCCCTTCATTTTTACAGATGAAGAAACTGAGGCCAAAGAAGTTAAGCAAATCGTCTAAGGTCATACAGCTAGTAAGTGGCAGTGGCAGTAATGAAGCCTTGGTTTCTAACTCCAAATCCAAGAGCTATTCTTATTATACCACAATGCCATTGAATAGTTAATATGGAAATTCCCTTACAAAAGCGCCACCTCATTAAATTTAGAACTTTGATCTCAGTTAAACTGGAAACAACGTTGGGAAGATGGGAAGAACCCTGTATTTAGAGTCAGATAATCTTGACTCAAATTCTTGTTCTGCTACTTCCAACCTGTTGTGAATTTGGGCATATAAATGTTGCTTCTTATTAAAATGATGGGTTTAGACTAGATGGCTTCTAAATTCCTTTCCAAGTCTAAAAACTATCCATCAACCTATAAGCTGAGTAGGACATTGGTAACCTCTGCAACATTTAAAAAAGGGAGACTCTCCATGTGAATGGCAGCTACTGAATGAAAAAACATTAAGAAAATAGCATTTAGTACTGTACATAGTATACATACTTTAGTATAGTATATGTAGTATAGTCCTTGCCCTCAAGGACCTTACATTCTAATAACCAGAGTCAACACATATAGCCAAGACAAGTGAAATCACTAAACATTTGTTAAGCACCTTCTACGTGCTAGGCACTGTACTAAGCTCTGGGGATACCCAGAAAGGGAAAAACCACCCTCTACTCTCAAGGAAACTCAGAGTCTAATGGCATAGCCAATATGCAAACAACTAAATGTAAATGAGATATATAAGGGGGAATGAAGAGAATAGCTTTTATATAGTACCAGCTATGTGCCAGGCACTGAGCTAAGCATTCTTACATATACTATCTCATTCGATCTTCATAACCCTTTGAGGTCGGTGTTATTATTATTTCCATTTTACATTTGATGAAACCGAGGCAACAGAGGTTAAGTGACTCACCCACAGTCACACAGCAGTAGGTATCTGAGGCTAGATCTGAACTCAAGTCTTCCTGATTCTAGGTCCATAGCTTTCTCTACTGAACCACCAGCTACCCCGGGCTAAGTTGGAGATAATCAACAAAGGACATGAACTATCATTAAGGAGGATCAGGAAAGTCTTCTTGCAAAAGGTGGTAATTGAGCTGAAGCCAAAGAAACTATAAGGTGAAGAGGAAGAAGGAAAAAATTACAGGCAAGGGGGATAGCCAGGGAAAAATTCACTGATTTGGGCAAGAGTGATCACTGGATCACCAAATATATGGAGAGGAGTAAGTCAGAAGAAGACTGAAAAGATAGGAAGGGCCTAGGTTATGAAAGGCTTTAAAAGCTAAACAGAGAATTTCATATTTGATCCCGGAGGTAATAGGGAACAACTGGAATTTATTGAATAACAGAGTTATATGATCAGAAAGATCAGTTTGACAGCTGAATGGAGGATGGACTGAAGTGGGGAAAGACTTGGGTAAGGGAGACCAACCAGAAAGCTACTATGATAGTGCAGACATGGAGTGATAAGAACCTGACAACATTAGAGGAAAAGGAGGCATGTAGGAGGAATGTTACAAAGGTAGAATTTATAGAACTTGCCAATTGACTAGATGTGGGAGATGAGAGAAAATTAGGAGTCAAAGATGATACCTAGGTTGTAAACCTGGGTGACTGGTGGGATGGTGGTACATTGACAGAAAAAAGAAGTCAGAAAGAAGGATGGGTTTTGGGGAAGAGATAATGAACTCAGTTTTGAATATGTTGGATTTAAGATAGCTATGGGAAATTTAGTTTGAGATATCCAACAGTCAGCTGGAGGTGTGATTGGTGGTTAAGAGAGAGGTTAGGACTGGTAAGTAGAGAGGCCATGGGAGCTGTTATTGGCAAGTAAAATAATATAAAGTGAAAAGACATTCAAAGACAATACCTTGGGGAACAGTCATATTTAGGGGAAATAACCTGGATGAAGATCTATCAAAGAAAACTGAGGAATGGTCAGAGAAGTAGGAGGAGAACCAGGAGAAAGAAGTGTCACAAAAAACCTAGAGAGAAGAAATAGGATTATTCAGAGTGTCAAAGGCTATGGAGTGTTCAAGAAAGATGAGGACTGAGCAAAGATCATTAGATTTGTGAATTAAGAGTTTATTGGTAACTTTGGAGAAAGCAGTTTCAGTTTCATGATGAGGTTGGAAGTCAGACTGCAGAGAGTTTAGAGAGTGAGAAGAAATGAAATGGAGACATTGTAGAGGGCCTTCTCAAACATTTTAATGATGAAAGGGAAAAGAGACATAGGACAATAGTGGGAATTGATAGATCAAGCGAGGATTTTTTGAGGGGATGGGAAGCCATAAGTGTATTTGTAGGTGTCAAGGAAGAAGCCAGCAGACAGAGAGAGACTGAAGACTAATGACAGTGAGGATGATAGAGGCATCAATCTGTTGAACAAACTGGGATGAAATGGGATCATTTATACATGTCAAGGGGTTTACCTTGGCTGGGAGAAGAGTCATCTTTTTATATGAGAAAGATGTAAAGGAGAAGATAATCGTAGAAGGCACCTCAATATTGTGATGAGGGAAAGGGGAGAAAAGTGAGCTTTCTGTGAATGGCCTTAATGTTTTTTTAGTGCAATTTGAAGCAAGGTTCTCAGCTGGGAGGGTAGAGGGAAAGGGAGTCATCAGAGGTTTGAGGAAGATTTGGAAGGTCTGGAAAAGTCATTGTGGTGGAGAGGATAGTGAGTCAATGTATATGGGCAATGGTGGTCGTGGAAGGGAGATTTGATTTGAGGAATTACAGGGATGGTATATGGAGCCATAGGGCAGTTGATTGATGCACACTTTCTAGTAGCTATGGTAATGTTCCATTGATTATTGTTCTTAGAGTGAGAGATGGTCAGTGG